ATTAATCTTCGACAAACTTGTTGTCAGTGTGCTTGCAGACAGTAAGAAATCTGATAGATGTTCTGCATTTCAGCTCGTAAGCATCATGATTAATTTATTGTTTTTGTTTGATGGAAGTTAATTGTGGAATTCAACTGCTTTTGCAATGACAATGCAGTCAACTGGTGTTTCTGAGTGTAATTCGGGAGTCAATATTCTGTTTCCCATAATTCCTGATTTGGCATTGTTCTTGCCAGTTCCACCTCAGTAACAAATGACCACTTTAGTAGTATAAATAAATTAGTGGAATCTCAAGGCGTCATTTTCCGATTATTCATTGGGATGAAGCAGTGGAGAAAGAAACACGCATTAAAATTTGCCTCATCCTCTCGAACAAATTGTTTTAGTTGTTCAGCGTACTACACTTGACGGTTTCTGGTTTCACTAAAATTCCAAATATCTGCATGAAATTTGAAAATACCTTTGAAGTTTCAAAGTTGGAGGTAGTAGTTATGCATACGGAGAACGGTAACATTTATCGCTTAAAAAGTAGAAAGGGAATAATTATTCCACTTTGTGGACGGATTGGGAGTAGTTTTTACTGCGCTCAAAACCGATTTTCGTCTGTTCTTGTGAAGGGTCTCCTTAAGCCAAAAAACCTGTGGTTTTTCAAGGTTATGATTTTTTAATAGGGCAGTGAAGACAATCGTAGAAATCTCATTATGATGTCATTTCTTGGTATGAAAACTTTTGATGCTTTTATGCGTTTAAGAATATTTTTGCACTTCAGTGGCAGCTTATTTTAGGACCTCTGAAGATTGTGAAGAATAAAAATTATCAACATTTGACAATGAATTAATCCAATGTATAAATGCCTATTTTGTGATTGCCTCCTCTTGATTATTTCACATATCCTGCGGCTGGTCAATTTTGAACGATGTTTCAACCAAACGAAAGTTCTATCATTAGCAAAGTGGGGCTGAACCAGTCTGAACTTGCAGCGTTTCCTGAGCTGAAAGAGACGTTGAAGGTATCCTTTATCAGGAAATTATTTTCTTTTATCCTTTTGTTTTTTAGTTCTTAACCTTTTTTTTGACTAAAAATCTTCTGGTTAAACATCTCAATGCGGGGAACCGATATAAAGAAACTGAGATGCTATTTTTTGTCGCTTACCAGCGGATTTGTTTTTTTTTATTGTTTTTTTATGAAAGTTGTAGGGAAAGAAGAATACCACGTTGCTTTTGGGTCCATTAGGCTTTAGGCCATTTACAAATTACGATGCAGAAACCCGCTTACGCGTCAAATTATATCATGCGGCAAGAAACCGTAAACTAGCCCGGGAAGCAAGAAGTCTTCCTTCACTGGATGAAATCGAAGTTAGTTTTGGCCATTTTTTAAATAAGTGGAAGAGTAAAATCGTCTTTTATACAGGATTTTAAAAGTCTCTTGCTGGCTAATGCAACTCCGCCCAAATTTGACAATCTCGACATGATCTTTTACGATGGTTACAAGGTAAGTGTACAGTCCAGTACGTCTCTGTCAAAATTACTTAACGCGAAATGTAATTACATTCCCTCTTTTAGCTTAATTGCTGTATTAACTTACTCTGCCTAAAGAGCTGTAGCATTATGGGGTTAGAGTTCATTTCTTCCGTTCTCTGTCAAAAAAGTTAATATGCAGTAGTCTATTTTGTTTCGTCAACAGTTTGTTAATGATGGTACTGTCTGATTTTTACAGACTGCTGTGAAGTCTGCGTCAACTGCGGTGCAGAGTTTCTTACCTGTCAAGTTCTTCTTCGAATTACAGCTATTCTGTGATTGGGATCGTTACGGCCGTGTTCCTGTGAACTGTATTATCAGCTATATTCTTAAAAAGAGGGAGAAAACGAAATTTTTAATTGCGTTGCATTGGTATGACTCCTCCTATCAGGGATATCTAACTGAGGAGGTTTGTATAATTGGATGTTTTTTTTTCTTATTTCTTGTGTTTTGCGGTACTATTTTTTTTTGTTTTAAAATTATAGTTTTCTTCATCTAGCATTTCGTTTGTTCTAGAGCATCTCTTTGTGATTGCTCTTTTCTGATCAGTTGGATTGTAATATTTTTTTGTGGTTTAAATTTCTCTTTCTTTTTTTTTTTCTAGGATTTGAAAGAATATTTGGTTGAGCAGATGATGCCAAGGATACCGTCCCTAGCAGAAATAGTGGTGAGTGTAATGCACTTTTTTGATCGGTTTTTTTTTTAATTTATAAAGTCGATTTCAGTACATTTCGGTTTTCTTAACAGTTCTGAGTAGTATTTTGATAGAGGATGCCTTGGTTTGTGTTAGAAAATCAGGTAATAGGGCTGTAACTTGACAATATTTGACTGCTTGTAGGACTCGCAAATGCAAGATTACTACCTCTGTATCGCGACCAAGAAGTTTTTCTTTATGCTGGATCAAAAAAACCTAAAGAAATTGCGCGTAATTGATATTGCTGCTAGTGGATTACTGGAAGAAATTCTGGCTGTTTCAAGTGTTGATAGGGCGGAATCTGCAGAAACTAGTTCCGATGAATCCTCTTTACTTTGGTAAGTTATTGTCTCGTTTCTTTATTGTCGATACGGCACCTTATTCATTGTGTTTATAAAAGTTTTAAATTACCCACTGAGCTGCATATCTGTAATGTATTGAAAATTAATGTAAATTTATATGAAGGATTAATTTAGTCTCTTCCTTTCAGCCACTTCTGGAAGTTTTTTCTTTTTGGTCATTGCATTTTAACAATGGGTTAGTTTGTTGACTTTAATTCTTTGAGGTATACACATAATCATATGGGAAACACAAGAAGTACAATGCTTCACCACATTTATTTTAGTTAGGAAGGTTTAAAATTTAGGAATTTGCTACTTCTTGTATGGTTCCTAGGGTTATATCTTTTAAAAAATCAGTTTTTCACTTGTTCAAAAGTGCTCTATGGGTTTGAATAGTTCATAGAGCGTATGAAGTCGCAAGATTTTTGAGGGCTTTTCGGGTTCGATAATTTGGAACCCCTTTATTTTTAATTTCTGGTTTCTTGAGCTGTTGGCGAAGGACTGAGAGATGCTAAGATTTCGCTCACAATCGTTTGTTCTGGCTGGGGCTGCGATATGCTAATCTTTGGCGAAGAACGAGGAAACTAGCTTATAAATTTGCTAGCTTCTTCACTGGGAAGTTAATGGAGGCTTTTTTCAGGTTTTCTAGAGAAAACTGTGAAAATATTCAGAGAATGTATATGGATCTCGATACGGACGGGAATGGGTTACTGCGGTATGAAGAGCTCAAGGGTTTTCGACAGATGACTGATTTTTTTGTAAAACGGTTAGCTCTGATTCTATTTTTGTAGCGTTTTTGCAATTTCACATCTTCTTTAATTTTTTTAAGTGCAGAGGCAGTTTTTCCTGTGCTAGCGTCAGATTTATTGTTCGTTTTTTTTTTTTTTTTTTGACTTGTCAGTTAGTTCGCCTTGGTAGTATGTAACATTGTTTTTGAAACAAAAGTGGAACTAATAAAACTACTAAAACCGGGCGATGCGAAAGGCAACAAGTCCAGAATAGAGGATTCAGGTGTGAGAAGCACTATTCTATATTTTTAGAATTCTAAGAATGTCTCAGGTTTAGACTTAGGTTTGGCTATATTGAAGGGGAAGGAAAGACTGGCTAATTAATGCATTTGAACTTTCTGAGCTCTATAGTCTTTCTTGCTTATATACTTGAATAAGGACACTGTATTTCTAAACTTCGACTGACTTGGGTCTATAAAATTATACTACAAATTAATTTTCAACGA